AATAATAGAAAGAAACAATGTGGCATTATGTTGGGGAAACACCACCAACAGGATTCATAACACAACCCACGAGCAAAACCCACTCCAAGCAAATTGGGGCATGTCCTTTCCCTTTGGTTCTTGAGTCCAGCAACCCCAAATCACCCAAAGTCCCAAAAGTCCAACGACCCAAAAGTCTCTGTCCTTGGCAGCCCCAGAGTTCAAAAGTTTATCTGCAGAGTTTTTACTTCCCAACCTGGGTGGAGATTGGGGGGGGGTGTTAAGGGGCACCTTACGTGGTCCAACACTGATGGCTCCACCTCTCCATGGGGCTCCGCTCCGCCAGCCACTCTGCTCCGCTCGCCGTCCCGCAAACTGAACTGCTCCGCCAGCCGCTCTGCTCCGCTCGCCGTCCCGCAAACTGAACTGCTCCGCCAGCCGCTCTGCTCCGCTCGCCGTCCCGCAAACTGAACTGCTCCGCCAGCCGCTTCGCTCGCTGTCCTGCAAACTGCTCTGCTCTGCCAGCCGCTCCGCTCACTGTCCCGCAAACTGCTCTGCCAGCCGCTCCGCTCACCATGCTGCAAACGGCTCTACCATAAAGCTTCAGGCTCCCCCACTACTTAACACAACACTCAGTGATTTCAGCTCTTTTGTGAGTTCAGCTTGTAGTAGGGGAGCCACAGTGCTGGTGCACCATTAGCCCAAAGTGAATTCAGCTCAGCAGCCTGTAACTAGACTCCTAATGGAATCAAAATTAGCTCTGATATTCCACAGTGGAGAGAGGAGGAAGTGCAATTAGCATGTAAGGCCCTCACCAGGGGGCCCATGCCACCAGGTATTAATACCTGTTCCCAGCCTCTCTCAATTCACAGAGTTTTGGAACCCATGTCCCTTGCCTAGTGAGTGCTACTTAGTTGATGGCAAGTCCCTCCATAATAACAAAAGGCCAAGTACAGTTCCACTGTCCTTGATTCCCATAATCAGGGTAATAACAATTTATTCTTCCTGCCCCAATAACAGAGACACTGGGGATCCCACAGCAGCCAAAGTGACCATTTGAGCAGCTATGGTCTCATTCTAGGCGGGGTGGGTGTGCCCATGCAAATGAGATCAGCCCCTGAAGTTCTTTTCCACAACTTGCCACATCTCACCACCAGATGTCAGGGTGGAGCTCATCCTGACTCTGCTTACACATGTTTCCTTATTTCCACCTACCCGCAATATCCCAAATACCCCCGCATCCTCAAGGTATTCTCCCCCGGACATTTTTGGCTATCTGGAGCCACAGCTACCCTGTCCTCCGTATCATTCAACCATCTTTGAGAACAGCCCAGAGCGTAGCCCTTTTGTTCAGCATGGAGATTCATCTGCCCTTGGCTAGAGCAGAGGGTTTAACAAACAGAAGCTGCTGGGGTACTTCCCTAGAGTTGCTCACTGAGCAATTCAGTCAAGTGCATTTATTTCTGTTTGACAGAGTTGGGTTCAGATGAGGCAGATGGGTATTTTGTTCGGTGAGCTGGCATCTAGCACTGGTCATAGGGCTGGCCTGGGCTCAGTGATAACCAAACTCTTCATGTTCAGCTTGGTCCACTTCGACCAGTTCTGCAGAGCAAGAACAGGCAGCAGAGGCTGTATGATGAGTTCACTTACTCTAAGACCCACTGGCCTGTAAGTCACCAGTATGAACCTCTCCTGCCCCTCTTTTGGAGATGGGGAGTGAAGACTCTGGCTTATGGTGAGGAGAGAAAACCTATGACCCTTTCACAGAAGGGAGTAAAGTCACAGTCTGTTAAGTATGACTCATCCCAGTTTCCAACAGGGGAAAACTTCTGCTTAGCCACATTTCTAAGTCCCTCTCCACAACCCGGCTCTGCTGTGATGAGCGTGGTTGAGGAGGGTTGAAATGTAGCAGGAGCAGAAGAGGAGGCAAAAATATGGGGAGAAGATCCCACTCAGCCCAGATGTAGGACACTGCTTAATACAGAACATTTGTCATGGGGATAAGGTGATAACATTTTTATTCACTTACTGCCATAGGCAAGAGGGAGCCTCCATTCCCAGAGTTACTGCTGTGGCTGCTCCTACAAGATAACTTTTCAGGTCCAAAGATAGCAGCAAGAAAACTGTGAGATCGATCCTTCTTTTTGTTCTGGTCAGGCTGCTGCTGAATGGCGTGGCTGCAAACTCCAAAGCACCATAATGTGGATCAGACCTTAACACTGCTCTTCTCCAATAGCACTAGTGAGACCTACAGGGGACCAGGCTCATAAATGGAAGTCAGACAAGAGACCAGCTGAATGGAGAAACAATGTTTTTCAAAAGTGAATTTAGTGCAGTGCCAGACGAATAGTACCAGAAAATGAAATCTTGTGGTAACATGCTGACAGTACAGGCAGCACGAACGCAAGCTTCCCCCACCAACGTACATCTATCTAGAGAAGAAGGGGCCATCTCTAGATGTTAGACGGGGGTTTAGCGTCCATGGCCTATTCAGTTGTTTGGACATCCCAAATTAAAAAACATAGTAAGAGAAGCAAAAAAGTGCCACCGTGGCTAAACAACAAAGTAAAAGAAGCAGAGAGACACAAAAAGGCATCCTTTAAAAAGTGGAAGTTAAATCCTAGTGAGGAAAATATAAAGGAGCATACACACTGGCAAGTGAAGTGTAAAGATATAATTAGGAAGGCCAAAAAATAATTTGAAGAATAGCTAGCCAAAGACTCAAAAAGTAATAGCAAATTTTTTAAGTACATCAGAAGCCAGAAGCCTGCTAAACAATCAGTGGGGTCACTGGATGATCAAGATGCTAAAGGAGCACTCAAGGACGATAATGTCATTGCGGAGAAACTAAAACAATTCTTTGCATCCGTCTTCATGGCTGAGGATGTGAGGGAGATTCCCAAACCTGAGTCATTCTTTTTGGGTGAAAAATCTAAGGAACTGTCCCAGATTGAGGTGTCATTAGAGGAGGTTTTGGAACAAATTGATAAACTAAACAGTAACAAGTCCCCAGGACCAGGTGGCATTCACCCAAGAGTTCTGAAGGAACTCAAATGTGAAATTGCAGAACTACTAACTGTAGTCTGTAACGTATCATTTAAATCAGCTTCTGTACCAAATGACTGGAGGATAGCTAATGTGATGCCAATTTTTAAAAAGGGCTCTAGAGGTGATCCCGGCAATTACAGGCCAGTAAGTTTGACTTCAGTACTGTGTAAACTGGTTGAAACTATAGTAAAGAATAAAATTGTCAGACACATAGATGAACATAATTTGTTGGTGAAGAGTCAACATTTTTTTTTTTTTTGTAAAGGGAAATCATGCCTCACCAAACCACTAGAATTCTTTGAGGGGGTCAACAAGCATGTGGACAAGGGAGATCCAGTGGCTACAGTGTACTTGAATTTTCAGAAAGCCTTTGACAAGGCCCCCCACCAAAGGCTCTTAAGCAAAGTAGGCTGTCATGGGATAAGAGGGAAAGTCCTCTCATGGATTGGTAACTGGTTAAAAGATAGGTAACAAAGGGTAGGAATAAATGATGAGTTTTCAGAATGGAGAGAGGTACTGGGATTGGTCCTATTCAACATATTCATAAATGATCTGGGAAAAGGGGTAAACAGTGAGGTGGCAAAATTTGCAGATGATACAAAACTACTCAATATAGTTAAGTCTCAAGCAGACTGCGAAGAGCTACAAAAGGATCTCACAAAACTGGGTGACTGGGCAACAAAATGGCAGATGAAATTCAATGTTGATAAATGCAAAGCAATGCATACTGGAAAACATAATCCCAACTATACATACAGAATGATGGGGTCTAAAGCAGCAGTTACCACTCAAGAAAGTGGAGTATTGTGAATAGTTCTCTGAAAACATCCACTCAATGTGCAGCGGCTGTCAAAAAAAGCTAACAGAACGTTGGGAATCATTAAGAAAGGGACAGATAATAAGACAGCAACTATCATATTGCCTCGATATAAATCCATGGTATGTCCACATCTTGAATACTGCATGCAGTTGTGGTCACCTCATCTCAAAAAAGATATATTGCACTTGGAAAAGGTACAGAAAAGGGCAACAAAAATGATAAGGGGTATGGAACGGCTTCCATATGAAGAGCGATTAATAAGACTGGGACTTTTCATCTTGGAAAAGAGACGACTAAGGAAGGATATTATAGAGGTCTATAAAATCATGACCAGTGTGGAGAAAATAAATAAGGAAGTGTTATTTACTCCTTCTCATAACACAAGGACTAGGGGTCACCAAATGAAATTAATAAATTAATTAAATTAATAAATTAAATAATAAAACAAAGAAGAGGAAGTATTTTTTCACACAACACACAGTCAACCTGTCGAACTCCTTGCCAGAAGATGTTGTGAAGGCCAAGACTGTAACAGGGTTCAAAAAAGAACTAGATAGGTTCATGGAGGATAGGTCCATCAATAGCTATTAGCCAGGATGGGCAGGAATGGTGTCCCTAGCCTCTTTTTGCCAGAAGCTGGGAATGGGCGACAGGGGATGGATCACTTGATGATTACCTGTTCTGTTCATTCCCTTGGGGGCACCTGGCATTGGCCACTGTTGGAAGATAGGATACTGGGCTAGATGGACCTTTGGTCTGACCCAGTATCGCTGTTCTTGTGTTCACCTACCTGTCCAGTGGGAACCAGACTGAAACCACCTAGTTACTTCATATGCAGAGAATGCCACTGAGTTGTGTCTTCCATAACAATGAAATTATTAGAAGGATTTTAACTCCCAACTCAGAGGGTTAAGCCAGGGTTCTGGTAGGAAGGGAACTGGCAACAGGATAGAGAGAATTTCAGACCCTGCAGTATCTGGGAGATTGCCCCAGGTCAGCAAAAAGTCTTTGCCTCTGAAAACTGGTGGCCTAAGGGAAATTATTTATCATTTTTATTACAGTAGCAACTCATGGTTTGAGTTGGTGATCTTAGTCTAGTTCTAAATAAAGACGGGTGTCCAGATCACAAACATCAACACCACAACTAGCAAGATTAAGGAAATAAATAGGGCACGTTTTATTAAAAATCAGAAAGGTGCAAAAGTTTATACAAACCTATCTACAAATTAAATTTCAGCCACCAGCCTTCTGGCAAGTTGACAGTCCATCCCCTTCTGTTGTACACTGATGTTCTTGCTTTACATTCTGTGATGAGGCAGCATTATAATAGGGGGCAGGGCTGACTCCCCCATGTGCGGGTATTCCATGGTGGTTGTTCCCTGGTCTGGAGAAGATTTAATACAAGAGACACTGTTAGGTGAAAGAATCCTCTTATGAATGAGGGTTTATAGGAGAACAAATGAACAATGTTAATCTAAACACACATGCTGAGCACCAGGATTGGTGTGTCTGCAGCTACACTGAGCTTTTTGCCCTTCTGCTCCATGGAAGGTTTCTGTCCTCCCTGAGCTTGCCTTCGGACACCTTCACTAGCTTTTGGCAGTTTTACCACCCCAGTCAAACTCCCCACCTGACACTGGAGTGTGTCATGCCCAGCATGTGCCAGGCACTTGGAGCCAGAAGTGAGAGCCCCTCAGGGCTCACCCTGCAGCTGCACTGAAGGAATGAGGCAGTGGTCTGGGAACTGAGCTCAAGTAGAATGCATTAGAATGCTTTGGGGAGCATGCAGCCATTTGTCAAAACACTTCTAGGCCTGATTCTACAGCAATTCAAATAGAATATGTCTATGGTAAATCCTAGAATATGTCTATGGTAAATATGTCTATGGTAAATGGTTCGACTTTAGATTACTACAGCAAAAACTTCCTGACAAATAAACTAGACAAGTTCTGGCAATGCTGGCAATAATTGGTGCTGTTGTTAATGCATGTTACTCATTTACAATGCATGAAATAAAGTTTACCAACAGAAGCAGGAGGAGAGCCTTTTCAGGAGACAGACTGTCCAATTCCTTCTGGCTTCCTGTGCCAATCTGATGGAAACAAAGGGCATGTTCAGATACTACAATAATGAGTGTAGTATAAATGTGTAGCAGTACAGGTGTGATGGACAGAGTTTCAGGATAAATTACAAACCCTTGAGTGGTAGGTAACAAAGAGGAAATATAGGTCAGAACTAAAGCAAAAAGACCCCCAAAATCTCTAGGAGAAATACCCTCTACCTTTTCACAGTGATCTAAACACAACATATCCCAAGTGCCCCCCTGTATCCTCACTGTCAGCTACTCCAATATCTTGGAGGGGCTCAACAGTGACTCCCCTCAGGCTGATTAAACAGCTGCCATTCTTTTAGAGTTACCATGAGAAGCAGTAGTAGAAGTGGCTTCTCAGTGTGGAGGACTGTCTGTGTGGTGCAGACCAGTTCATCTGCTCAAAGATGGCAAAGATATCTCTACCAATTGAGGGTTCTTCATCAAATAGCAAATAGGCAAGAGCTGAAACGAAGAGCACAAAATGGAGGTCAGGAGACTCAAAGAAATGGGTCATTGTCCCCAGATATTCTAGGGCAGGAGTTCTCAAACTGGGGGGTCGGGACCCCTCAGGGAGTTGCGAGGTTATTACATGGGGGGTAGTGAGCTGCCAGCCTCCACCCCAAACCCCGCTTTGCCTCCAGCATTTATAATGGTGTTAAATATACAACAAAGGGTTTTTTAATTTATAAGGGGGGGGGGTCGCACTCAGATGCTTGCTATGTGAAAGGGGTCACCTGTACAAAAGTTTGAGAACCACTGTTCTAGGGGATCATGCATCTTCACCATCAAATATCTTGGGCCATCCAGAAGCCTCCATACATCCCCATGATCAATACTACAACCTAGGGGGATCCCATAAGGGATTTACACAGAGGGGTGTCTTCTCATCTTGCCCTGCCCTGGCTTTATGCTCTTTCTAAAAGTCACATTGTTATTACTGCACAGGGGACAGTGAAAGGGAATGAATATTTGTCTGGGGTGGATTGATCTGAAATATTTCCACTCCCTGCCCCTCATTGCAGACCCCCAGGCATGCAACAATAAAAAGCATATGCAGATTGGCACACAGACATGCCTCCACTCATGTAAACACCAACACTCAAAGAAGTTCACACAGTATTATCATCATTAATTAATTATTAGAGTGCTGTATAAACATAAGAACGGCCATACTGAGTTAGATCAAAGGTCTATGTAGCCCAATATCCTGTCTTTGACAGTGGCCAATAAATAACACTTCCTTATTTACTTTCTCCACACCAGTCATGATTTTATAGACTTCTATCATATCCTCCCTTAGTCGTCTCTTTTCCAAGCTGGAAAGTCCCAGTCTTATTAATCTCTCCTCATACGGAAACTGTTCCATGCCCCTGATCATTTCTGTTGTTCTTTTCTGAACCTTTTCCAATTCCAATATATTTTTTTGAGATGGGACGATGCAACAGGCACTCAGTATTCAAGATGTGGGCATACCATGGATTTATATCAAGGCAATATGATAATTGCTGTCTTATTATCTATCCCTTAATGATTCCCAATATTGTTCGCTTTTTTGACTGCTGCTGCAAATTGAGTGGGTGTTTTCAGAGAACTGTCCACAATGACTCCAAAATCTCTTTCTTGAGTGGTAACAGCTACTTTAGACCCCATCATTCTATATATATATAGTTGGGGTTATGTTTTCCAATGTGCATTACTTTGCATTTATCAACATTGAATTTCATCTGCCATTTTGTTGCCCAGTCACCCAGTTTTGAGAGATCCTTTTGAAAGATAAAACAGCAAACATCTAATTCTGCACCAAAGATCTTACAATCTCAATGTACTTCTCACTCAGGGGCACTTCTGCAGACTCCCTCAAAGAAGTGCACTTGAAGAAAGACACAAATCTGGAAACACACCTAGATTTACACCTACCTATCTTAGCAGTATCTGAGCACCTCACAATGTTCAATGTACGTATTCTCACCTCACCTTTGTATAAAAAGATTATCCCCATTTACAGATAGGGAACAGAGGCTCAGTCACTTGTCCAAGGTCACACAGGAAGTCTGTGATAGAGCTGGGAATTGAACCCAAATCTTCCTTGCTAACATCATTACTTACCCTGCTGAAACAAGTCTACTTCCTTTTTCATGTATCTTCTCTTATGGTGGAACACCAACTCCACAAATATTATTACAAAAGAAACTGGGGAGGGGGGAAATAACAGAAGTTCCATCTCTTGCAAACAGAAGAATCTCTATGAGTCATCATCAAGATTTACATATTGGACTTGCAAATTAGACCTACGAGAGGCCTCTATCACTAAGCAAAAGGAGTATCTGACCCTATATGGCCCATGGTCACTAAAAGGGACCTGACATACATTGCCTGTGGGTTACACAAATATTTGCTAGAAACAGAATAATGGGAATCAGGATTCCTGGGTTCGGTTCCTGGCATTGGGAGGGGAATGTCGCCTACAGCAGGAGTTACTGACATTGTTACAGAGAGGGTAGCCAAGCACATACCTTTGATACATTCAATGTAAAAAGACAGTGTGACTGAGTAAATGAGAGCTACAGTTTGCCATTTTGCGGACTTGATCTCTATTCCAGGCAGTGCCAGAAGTGACCTTGTATGACTTCTTTCCACAGTGAGCCTCCTCCAGCCTTCCCTTGGGAAAGGCACACAAAACACTTGCTCTCAATTTCCCACCACTACTGGGAAAGGTATGGGTGCTGAAAGAGGGTTGCAAACACATAAGGGAAGTGTAGGATGCTCACACATGGTGAGGGTGCTTGCACAGCTTTGGTCGGGGGGGGGGGGGAAGTGGAGTGAGGAGGAAAGGAGGGATTAGTCAAGGGCCACTGGTAGATGGAGAGGTGGAAGGTGTTTAGAAATCCCAGTTTCAGCTCAGGACTAAGAGCACCTCCTACACTGGGCTGAGCACACATTGCCTGGCCTTATCCATATGAGGGGGCCCCAGAACAGAGCTAGAGCCTGAGCCCTGGAGGCACTCTCATTCGCACCTTTCTATTGCAGGGTCCCCACAATGTTGTTTGTATTTCAGGTTTTGCCTTGCTTATTAAAAAAACTTCTAATTTAAAAACAACTTTTCATAATTCCTGATTAAACAGGAGCTCTCTGCTCTTTAGCCCCTTGCTATCCATTCTGGAGATCCCAGGTACACATGTATGGACATTACCAGCCTTTACTAAAGTCAGCAGAGATTTACCAGTGACTAATTTGATTCAAACAAATAAAACATTCTGATATGAAGAAGTGGACTTGGACTTGTTCCTCTACCCCTTTAACTAGAACAAAGGAATAGATGAGCTACAGCATTCCTGAGAAAATATCATCACTTCTGGACTATAACAAGCTTGCAGGCTAGAGCAAGGTTTCCTTCTCCGTCCTTTCTATTCTGGCAACAACAATGTAAAAACCAGGAGATGGTTGGTTTTGTCCACTGGTGCCAGAACAGGAAAATCTAACAGCCGCTTCTATCAGCACTTCTGCTGTTCTTACCTGTTTCTTTAGATGATTTCCAGGCTCTGAGATTAACATTGCTGTAGCTGCCTGTACAGCAGTTGTATCTATTATAGCAGTAGCTATTCCTCAGAACCCTGAAAGAAGCATTTTTGAGAACATGTGCACTATAAAAACTTATACAAAAAAGGATCTAGTCAAAAGCCAAGCGTTCTGAGGTAAGTTTCATGCCCCAGGCTATGTTATTAAAATCTCAAAGCAGGAGTTAGGTTTCCCTTAGTCTTTTGTAAGAAAGTTCTTGAAATGATTTAAATTGTATAGGGAGAGAACCCAGAACATGCAGGATGCAGAGCCTTGAGCATACAGGATGGACTTGGTACAAAAGGGCAGGAGAATGCAGAGGGTGGGGTGACTAAGTACCCTGGTGAATCTGCTGAACAACAGAGTCATTATTCTCTCTCCTCTCTTGGAAGGAGAATGTTCAGCAAAGAAAGTGGAAAAGCAGATCATGTCCCAGATCATGTCCCATATCTCCCTTGAAGAAAGGGAGCCAGAAACCCTTTAAAAGGGTCTGTCCCTAGACGGGAATTCTCTCCCTGGGAATTCTGCAACAGTTGGAGGCAGCCTGAGCGGTGAGAGGCATGGCCAGGAAAACCCAGAAGGGGAGTGGGCCATTAGTAGCAGAAGCTGATGCAGTTCATTACAGGTCTGCACTGAACCTGTGGAGAAGTAGCTGACTGGGGACAAAGGACACTAAAGCCAGAGCAAACTAGAAAGGGGCCTGAAACACACACACAGCAGCTGCTTCTCCTAGAGGGGCTGTAACATCTAATAAAGCTTGTGCAGCCAAGATGTTCAGAAACAATGGATTAGGCTGGGGTAGGAGTCTGATCTGAGCAGGTGTTTGGCACAAAGCAAATCAGCAGCTATATTCACCAAAAACAGAGGTAGACCACACAATGAAGATTGTGGGGTGTGTGGACTGTACCTCCAGGGAAAGCAGCCTGCAAGCAGGTATAAGGTAGCTGGCTACATATGGATAAGCGGATGAAAATGCAGCAGCAGAGAAGTCCCCAACAAGATCACTCATTACAAGATTGAATCCTGGGCAGGAAGACTTCAAGGCCAATACCTAACTGCTCTCTGATAGAGCGATTGATGAGAACAGGCACCCCAAGTATTAGGCCCAAGGCACCTCTCTGGTGGACTGCCACGAGGTGCCAAGATAAGAATGGCTGTGTTTATCTTTTATCATTACTCAGACATTTTTTGCTGTAATGAGCCAAAGATCAGAGACGTGTTCTTACATTACCAGGATTTTAAAATATATTTTACAAAAATATCACACCATGTGACTTAGTAAAACCAGTCAAAACTTGCCATGGAAAAGGGACCTAAAGTGAACAAAAACAAAACAAAAAAAGATTGTATTGACAAAAATGGAAAATTGAGAAAATCAAGCGGTTTTCATAAAACTTTCCATTTTCCAAAAATGGCCAAGTTTTATCCAAAAAAAATTTCAAATGATTTTGAACAAACAGAAAACAAACCCTACCTGAAGCAGTTAGCCTCCCACTGAGAAATGAGGACACTGCTAGACCATAGGTTATAATGCCTTAGAATCATAGGACTGGAAGGGACCTCGAGAGGTCATCTAGTCCAGTCCCCTACAGTCATGGCAGGACTAAGTATTAGCTAGACCAGCCTTATAAGCTCTAACAATGATTTAGAGCCAAGCTGACACCGTTTCCAATAACACTTTCAAAAACTCTCAGCTATCACCTAATCCCCCAATCCCATCCAATGATGCCCAGATATTCATTTCTCTAGAAACCATTTGTTAACAAATCCTTGGGGTATCCAAACTGACCTCAATGCGATATATGTGTCATTTAATTATTACCCCTTATTTACAGACTTTCAGTAACTTCTGAGCCCCATTTGAATTCTACAAGTAAAATTATGAGACTGCTGAATGTTTTTACTAAGATATTACATCTGCTGTTTCCTTATATCTGCTGCTCACTATGTCACCTCTAGCTGTTTATAAATTTCTCCTTATATTGGTTCTAATATTTTTTCATAGATTTAAGGCCAGAAGGTGCCATTATGATCACCTATCTTACCTTCTGTATGACACAAGTCACTGAATTTCACTCAGTAATTCCTATACTTGTGATTGAACTACAGCATAGCTTTTAGAAAGACATCCAATCTTCATTTAAAGACACCAAGCAATAGAGAATTTATCACTTTCCTTGGTAACCTATTCTAAAAGTTACTCTCTACCTTATTTTCAATTTGAATTTTTCTAATTTCAATTTCCAGTCTTTGAATCTTATGTCCATCTGCTAGATTAAAGGGTCCTGAATACCAGTTATCTTCTCCTTGTAGACCATTATATCCCATCACCTCTTTCCAAACATTCTCTTTTCATACATTAAACATATCTAGCTCTTGTGAGGCACATTTTCCATTTTAAGGAACAAAGTTGGACTTACCTATAACAACTGACAGATCAGCTGTAAGATCAGTAGTACCACACTGACTTTTTTGAATTTGGTATTTTCTCCTTTCTCTGATTTAAAATAAATCACTGAGAACATTAATTCTTTCTTCAAAGCACGTCAGCACAGTAGGAAAAAAATTGGTAACCTACCTAATTAAAAAACATAATTAAAATTGAACTAGCGATGTTTGAATACTATACAGTGAATACGCTGTTCAACCAACTAAGTTTGTATTTTGTAGTGGCCAAATAGCACTAACTACTGAATGTTATTTTACCAATACTTATTCAATAACATGACTTTTCTGGTAGTTGGGCTGATCTACACTACTGCAGTAAATCGATTTAAGTTACGCAACTTCAGTTACGTGAACAACGTAATCTATGTTCCCTCTAATTTTTGACAGTCCATGTGCGCAAAAAATGTCTTCTGTGCAAATTTTTGACAGGCCATGTGCGCAAAATTTTCTTCTGTGCAAATTGTTGCGCTTCTGTGCAAATTTTTGAGCGTGCAGTGTTTCACAGTGGGCGCGTACACGCGCACAGCTTAGAGGGAACAGTGAATGTAACTGAAGTAGACGTAGTTAGATCCACTTACCGCGGTGTCTACACTGTGCTGTGTCGACAGGAGAGTCTCTTCCGTCAACTTCCCTTACGCTTCTTGGGGAGGTGGAGTACACAAATTGATGGGAGAGTGCTCTCCCATCGATTTAGTGTCTTCACCAGACCCACTTAATCGACACTCACTGCATCGATTACAGCACTGCCAATCTACCGGTAATTGTAGACATGGCTTAGCTGCAGCTTTAGCTGTACTCTGCATCATCCAGTACACCATGCCCAACTGGTACTGCTGGTATTCAATGTATGCTCATCGGAACAGAAAGACTTCATCTGCACACTGTCGTAAGCACACATTCAGTATCCCACCCATTTAATCATTGTTTCTTTTATTTCCCCACCTTTATTCACTAATCAGCCAACTTTTGCTTTCCCAATAGATTTGTGGAAGTCTTTACCCCACTTCAGGTAACTTTTTCAGACCTTTTCTTTTTCTGAGAAACCTTTGTTTCATTCCTTTCACCTTCCTCCCCCGCCCCTTAGCAATCCATTAAAAATGTTTTGAGCCTGATTCAGCCATGTTTGCTACTTTTTTTTTTTTTTTGAAGTTCAGAGGAAATGCAGGCTCTTGTGGCTTGAACATGGTGTTTTAAAATTCTCCAGATCTCTACCACATTTATGTATTTTAATACTTTTGCCCGCTGCATGTTCCACCAGATTTCCCTAAACTGTATTCTTGAAAATTAAATACCTTAGTAACTATTGCAGTCTGTGATCCAATATCCATAAGATGCTGAATCCAAGTGGCCCATGATTACGAACGCTAAGCTTCACTAAAATTCCAACTTACTACTAGCTCCTGTTGAACAAGTTTCTGCAGCCCAGCATCTCCCACAAATATGCTACACGTGGACCGTTCTGCACTGCAGTTCCTGGAGGTTGTTCAAAAATGGCCATGCCTCCTCTCCCACTTGCCACCCGATTTTCTGCCTCCACAGCAGCAAAGTGGCAGCTCACTTTGCTCCCATCCTTTTCTTTTATATGTTATTTTTAGCTGTTTTCAGCCAGGAGTGAGTGTTATTTTTAATTCAAGCCTCCTTGCCTGGGTTTTGAGTAATGCAGTGGTCAGAACTGTGACTGATACAGCAATTTCCTGCAATATCCTCAGAAGACCTTATTGTATGAAGTTTCCATATTATTGTGGGCCGGGATTGTATAAAATCCCTCCAGGGAGAGATGTGACAGAGGTGAAACCTGGGAATTCAAAAGACTATATTCAAAATGCTCCAAACAAATATGAACTTTTGGGACAATAGGTGTTAAGTGGATTTCCTGGAAAATCCCTAGGGAGAGGTTAATGCAAATGATCTCCAATTACGCAAAAACCTTGCCTTTGGAAGCTATGCTGTGAGGAAAGGGTCATTGTCTGCAGAAAGGCCTTAGATCTGGCCAGCTTTGTGTTCTGGATCTAAGACGGATGAACTTGTAACCAGAGGAAAAAAATGAATTGTGGGTTTTGAAGGAATAAAACCTACCAGAGCCCGAGGTTAGAATTGGGGGGGTACCCTCTGGTAGACATTTTTGTTGGTGTGTAGTTTTTTAAAAATTGCTTTAATGTTTTTGTCTGTAATACTTTGACCTTGAGAATAAATATGCCTGCTTAGAAGGAGCTGTATGGTAACTTATAACTACAGTCAATACACTGATCAGAGCCCTTGGAGAGAAGGCAAAATGCAGGTGCTGCCCTTGTAGGTTGATGACACAGTAGCACCCTACTAAAGGGCATGCTTATCCCATCAGAAGGAGGAATTCTTCCTAAGGACCCAACAGACAGGAAGGTGGCAGCTACCCTAACAAAGGGACTTTGAAGCTTCATCAGCACATCTCTCACAGCCACATGCTTTGTGAGAGCTACAGTTCCTAGGCTGGAGGACCCTAGGAACCTGGAGGACAGAGATCACCCTGGCATCAGCTCCATTCTTAAGAAAACTTCCCAGGCAACAGTATTCATTGCTGATGCCTCAGTGGATGCAATTTTCAGCCCTGGCTATAGCATCCTGCTCAGCAGCCATGCAACACCTATGGCTCCACCCCTAGAAAGTAGATGCTCACTCCAAATAAGTCCTACATTCCTCTAATTTCACAGGATCTCTCCTCTTTAGAGAAAAACTAGATTACAAAGTGGCAGAAAATGCTGCTAAATCTAAGCTAGGTCCTCCCCTCTCTGCAGAGTGCTCTGAGAGTACAAACCTGCTTTTAGGCAGACACACTCCTTTCGCCTATTCTCCTCAGAGTACCACCAGAGGAAGAATGGCAGATTTATCAAGGGCAAGTCTCAGAACCCAGGATTGAGCAGAAAACCCACAGTTGGTCTCACAATGCCCAAGAGCCCAGCATGACGAGGAAATGTGCCTCTGGCTAAACTTGAATCTAGGAGGCAGAATTTCCCACTTTTCAGAGGACAGGAGTGCATTGACTATAGACCAATGGATAAGAGGGAGAGTGAATCAGGAATACTTCCATAATCTACAGGCTCCATCCCACCCCTTTTTATCCAGTTTCCCAGCTCCAGTGACTCCACCAAGCACAAACTGGTCCAGAATGAGATGTCCTGGACATAGCAGCACTAGAAGGAGTTCCCTTAGAAGAAAGGTTTTCCAGGTTGAGGTTTTCTACCTCATCTTCTTTATTGTTCAGAAGTGCACTGGGGGTAGAGAGACCATTATCAGCTTCAAGAGATTCAACAAGTGGAAGAAAACAAAATTTTGCAAGGAGACCCTAGATTCCACAGTCTCATCCCAAATTTAAGGGGACCTCCTAACCTCAGTGGACCTGGCAGATACATATCTCAGTGTTCCCATATGCCAATGCTCCACAATCTACTGAGATCTGCTTATGGAACAGATCACTACCAGTACCGAATGCTGCCATTTAGTCTCTCATTATCCCTGAGCGTCTTCACAAAGATGCTAGTGGTGATCATAGCCGGACTCAGATTGCAGAGTACTCACCATTACCCGTTTCTGGACAACATTCTAATCAGAGCTGCGACCCAGGCTGGAGAGCACAATGCTATGATTTGGATTCTGGATCTCCTGTAAGTGCATGGCTTTATAATAAACATCAAGAAAATTCCTTGATTCCATCCACAAGGATAACTCACCTGGGAGCGAACACAGACACCTTGAAGGCAAAAGTCTACCCATCATTTGACAGATTACAGAAAATCCAGTATCTCATATCTA